CTGAAAAGGCCTATTCACTGTGCAGAGTCATATGAAAATCATCACTCCGTCCCATCGTAAGTGGACAGCTAATCAGTTTGAACTTGATACTATCTACTGACAGTATCTACTGGCATTGGCATTCCAAGGAGCCAAAAACCTAATCATTACGACAGTCTTCGCCAAAGGCGATTAAGGTGCGATCACCACAGCAAAGCAAAGCAAAGTGAAGGCAACTTCGGGTGTTCAACCTCTGGAACATCCCCACCACATGCAGCCGCCTTTGCAGTGTTCACCCCAAGTTGGATAATTTGATCTACTACTATATGTGCTGCGTCATAGAGGGGGTGGACAGTTATTGGTGCGGTGAAGTTAATTATCGGTGCCTCTCTGAGGGCCAGGGCCAGGCCAGTTGAGACGTATGAAAACGTCAGGCGCGAAACTAACGCTGACATGGTTGGGACCTTGTCGTGGTTCTCACAAATATTGACGGTCATTTGATGGTGCTGTTGAGTGGTGTGTACACTGGTGTGCTGTGCAGTGCAGGGCAGTGCTGAAGGGGTAAGTGGGTATCAAGACAGAGGCGACAAGTACTGAGAAGGGAAGTTGCCCGCATTCCGCGAGACAGGGGCATCGTTCGCACATCTCCTGGATGTGACGGTCACAAAGATTTTGTGAAGTGCGACTTGAAGTGAGGTGAAGTAACGCGGAATCCCAACGATACAAATGAACTAGTTGAAGAAATCGTAACAGTACACTATGGCGGTGGCAAGCGAACAAATGAGCATGACCCACATAGAGTAAGTACTTTTTCATTCGACTGACGGCAGAACATTGCACGCATCAATGATAGAATTCCTTTACTGCTATATTCTTTCCTATAGCTAGACGAGCATGAGTTGCATTGGGGTGTCAGTGACCTAGTGTTGCGGGTGCCTTGCGTTCCAAGCGTCTACTGTGGTAAAATGCTGTTTAGTGTGGCAACGGGAGAGGGACGAAGACCTTTGGAGTGATTTGCCTGTTTTGGTTGTTTAAAGGAGGACATACTTGCCGGACTTGCAAGTGGGTGGTTTGGTAGATGAGTTCAGTAGCGTATCGAAGTAGACTGGCTGATGACAGTGGCAAAGGCAACAATGGCGAGAAATAGTGTGAAACGGTGGTTGCAGACGTTTGATCCAAATGGTAGTGCGTTAGTGACATTGACTGAGACAGAGAGAAGCAATTATTAGTGAGTAGGTATTAGTTCTCCTGTTTTTAAGTGCAGCAACTTTGGTCTTGCAAAGTTGCAGCGTTTAATTTACGGTGGAGGGGAGTCGGAGAACGGTTTGCATTTCCGCAGTGCTGCTAGTTGATAGTCGTCTTAGGAGTAGAAGAAATTGGAGAGAAGGAAGGATGGAGGGAAACGTGTGAGTGGGCGGTAATGAAGCTGGCAGCACTGTGATTTACGTCTTCCTTTCGTCTATTAGCAAATCCTACCTATGCTCTGGATGGTGAAGGGATGCCAAAATAGGAAGCCTGCAGTCTGCAGAAGGATTGAGAGGAAATCAGTTGAGGCGATGTGGAGTTTATGAGCCAGTGAAGTGACCAGAGTCTTTTGAGGTAACCACCACTAGGGGATTAATGCACTAATGGGCAAATTGACGAATAGGCTGTTCGAGGTGGATGGATAAAGAGAGAGGAGGGTGATTAAGTGAGTGATTGAATGGGTGGTTGGCAAGACCTGTCAAAGTGGCAACGCAGGCGAGGCAAAACCGATGGTTGTGTGCATAAGCGATCGCTTTTAGAATGCTGCTTCATCTGATCCATTAGTGATAATTAAGAACTCACTAAATTACTCTTCTGTAGTGTGTGGTGATGTTTTTGTGGCAGGGAGATGAATTTAATTATGGCGAGGACATCCCAGATGTCAGTGAATGTCTGCTGAAGCATGGCGGATTGGTACGTTGATTTTGCGCTGCGCCGTGGTGATCATGGTCGCCGGAGCGAATGGCAGGAGTCGGAATGGACTTCAATGTAGACCACCTGCGTCCAGATGGTGGGTCGATTTGAACGTCAATGCCCAAAGTCCGATGTGTAGTCGATTTGGCTCGTGATTGCTCACCCACATTCTGTCAATCTGGGTAGCCGATGCGTTGTGTTCCAGCAAGGCTGACGTATGCCACTGACGAGGTGAGTGGGAAGTGCGTTTCTTAGTAAAAACAAAGCCCCTCCTCCATCGTTGGGCTGCAGTGACTTTGCAGGTTTGAGACGAAATGTAGGAAGCGACTCCATTTTAGCAGGTTGAGTTCGTACGACTGAACCATGCTAGGAGAGTATGTCTGCCTGCAGATGGAATCGGATGGCTGGCTGTCCAACCATTGACCACTTTATTGTCGTGCGGCGCTAGGAGTTAGGTGTTCAAGGATATGCGGGTGTGTAAGTCTGCATCCACAAATGACTCTGTTAATCACCACTTGCTGCCTCACACACACATGCATTCACTCATAGATCTATTCACTGCAACAGATGTCCGGTACCATGGGTAGGTGCTACTGCTGTATGCCACACCACCTTTCATGCGCAGATGTAGGAGCACAAATCGCGCTTTGACGTGGATGGAGTGGAATGGACCTCCCGTGTGATGTGGAATGGAGTGGAGTATCATTTAGCAGACAGAGCATGCATAACGAAGGGAGTTTGGTTGTGTTTTCAGGAGATATTGAAGCGACACCCAGAAATAGGGAAACTGATGGGTCCCAATCCCCTCATCGCAGTGATCGTGGTGACCGAGGTGATGCTGCAGTTCGGCATGGCCTATTGGATCTGATGGTGCAAAGTGTGTTCGATGTAATTGCCTGGCATTGCCTTGATAACTGTGCCTTTGCTTACCTCCTTATGGGAACGGTCTCTGGTTTCGGATCACATTCCGTAGCCGGTCATGTGATTAGCGAGCACTATTTGTTTGCTGATAACCTGGTGACCCATTCTTACTATGGACTGCTGAACATTCCGCTGTTCAATGTCGGCTATCATGTGGAACACCATGACTTTCCTTACATTCCATTTACGTGACTTTACAAGGTAAAAGAGTTGGCTCTGGAGTCCTGTAATCATCTCTCTTATCATTCCTCGCTTTGCAAGGTGAGTTTGCAAATAATTAGTTCAACTTGTTGCTATAGCAGAGTAAAATAAAAGACAATTATAATACTTTACTCTTCCACTACTTTAATGTATTCATTGCTATTTGTGCATTGCTTCACAAAATATCCTATCTAGATGATAGTCAAAGCTTGAAGAGTCTGTCTGGTGTTGTTTTGGTGTCGATGCCACTTATTTTCTTACTATACTGCTGGTAGTTAAAGTGATTTCCGAAGAGGTAATTATTGCTAAGTAAATTCAGGTAAGTGATGTGGGACTTTGTGTTCATGCCGGGTCTGGGCCCTGAGGCTCGAAGCATCACGACAACGCCAAAAAGTCAACTGAGGATTTACAACAAGGTTCCTCACTTTAAGCTCACCTCAGTCCTGACCTTCCTTGATGCATCGAAGAAGGCAGAATAAGGTGCACATTAAACTGTATGTTTTTTTTAGCTAATAATAACTTGCATGGACGCACAAACAATCATTAGAGTTTCGCGCTGTAAAGTAAGGAGAGGACTTTATTGGAGAAAGTTTGTAGTTTGATAGTAAAATTTGATGAGGTTGCCTGTAACTTTCACAAAGAGTGTTTTTACTTCCTTTTCTCAAACCCTCTGGAGCACTCTAAAGCGGCCTCGCTGAGTCTTCCATGATTGGTCGCCAGTGGGGTGGAAACACTTTTGAGTGTTCCATTACCAATCTATACCTCAGCACTCCAGCCGGGCTACATCCCGGGCATACATCTGTGGTTGGCAGTAAAGACCCCGTTGTTCCAAAGTTTTATCCATTGGTTGCTCCGGTCGGGATCATATTAGGGTCCGTGTTTACACAAGCAAACGACAGTTCATAGCAATGACAGGGAGCTCTGCAACCAATCCTCAAGTCCTTCTGAGCACGTCGACAGTGAGATTACATCGATACTAGTATTCTTCATGGCTTTTTGATGAACAAGTGAGCCACCAATTAATCCGATTTCGATGAACAGACGCAGAGTCAAAAGGCCGTGGAAGAATCCTTTCTGCTGCGGAGATCGGCTGCGTACATCGGAATTCATGACGGAAGGGTCCTAGAAATCGTGCTGATTTTTGGCAATGGTTTTAATCTAAAGTCTTTCTGGAGGGGGGGGGGGCAGCCATGGAGCAAAACTAGATTTGAAGGAACCAAAAGCACCTCGAAGGGAATTGTCCACTGGCGCCTTGTGAATACAGGGGTTTGGGGTCACGATTTAAGAACACGATGCTTCCCCATTATTATTTACAAGATACGCTCGTGGTAGAACACCTTTCAGTCTTTGGCTCCACCTCCCAAATGAATGTCTCCACATTACAGTTCATTCTCCAGAGGACGAGATATTAAAGCATACTAAGTACACAGCACTTGCTACTGTCGGCAAAGTAAGTAGCAACTTTTTTGTGGAATTAGAATACCTCGCCTTACATCAATCTTCAAGTCGCCATTGAAGTTTTTTGATTAGTGTCGCAACTGCTGCTGACTTGTTGATGACAAAATGCCATAAGAACTCTGACCGTCAATTATTTCTGTATTTTCTGCATCATCTACATCAGACCACTCACTTCAGCCGAGGCCCCTTCCGAAGGCACTGGCAATGATCAGTTCACGTTTACTGGTGGGTTGCCGATTAGCTTTTCTGAATTTTTCGTCCCTTTATTTACACGTCCATCCATGTAACTCACCCGTTGGTCCCATATCCATTCACTCATTTGTCCCCTAATCAACCGACCACCACAAACTTCTTATGCATCAGTATTCCCAACAGTTGACGGGACGTACCCTGACACCAAATTCGTCCCCAACAGTTTACATTTAATCTATGAAACTGTCTGCTTCCCCATTGTTTGTCTAGCTATTCGCACACCCACCACTCACTCTATCTTAAGCTTAACCACTATTACCCTTACCTATCCGTCAGCTCATTTGTCTACACTTTTCTTTGGGGGAATTTTAGCAGAGAATAACTAACATCAGCGTTTCCTTGCAAGTGTTTATACACCTCGAGTTTGTGCTACCTTAATTAGCAGGAGATACGGTCAAGTTGGTTTGTAGAGGACTGTGGGCGTAGTTGTGTCGATAACCCCTTGCTAAGGACCCTCTAATGAACCAACTTGTCAACACCTTCTGCCACTAAGGATGGCACGGATTAGCACGAATAAAGCTCATCAAAAATGCATAAATGATTGCCACTTTAAATGTGTTTAAATGAAGAAAATGCACTAGATAATCGTTAAGTGTCTAAACAAAACGGAAGACGGCGACAGCACGAAGATGAGAGATGTCACTGTATGAAGTAGTGGTAGTAGCAAAAACGTATCTGCCAATTTGACAGTGTTTGTACCAGAATATTTGGCGTGAAATCGGTTTTTGGATTCGATGTGAAATGTCAGCTATGAGTTCTTTAAAACGGCACATATTGAACACCAATACCTGGACTGGAGTTGGTATCTATGGTACATGCATGACATTCTCGGTTCTATCGAATCACTAGATGCTGGAGACTCCTGCAACGACAATGATTGCTAAATTCGAATCACGGAAGTCATCTGGAGGTACAAGCCAAACATTGAATTCAGCTGCTAGAATGTGGCTTTGCACTCCTTGGACCATTTCTACGGGATGGCCATCCCGTGCAAGTCGTTTAGTTGTACCCGTATATTGTGGAGCGACAGTAAACGAATATGCCAAATACTAGTTCATGAGCTCGCCTCCTTGTGTTTCTAATTTTGTCCTGTACATTTTTAACTAGAATAATGAAAAGACTGAGATTTCAAAATAGACTTCTTTCTCTCCCAATGAGCATGTGTTCTTGTAATTTGGGCACCTACATAGGTAACAGTTACCCAGATGGATGAAAGGAAGAACGGTTGCTTAGACACGGAGCTAAGTTAACCAGGAATTAATAAATTGCCATTCGAATCAGCGCAATCTAAGATGATCGAAATCGCCTAATTTTGATAACCGTTGTAA